TTACGAATATTCTTACCACACTCGTAACACTGTGCTGACGTGTCCTCCTCTATCTGCATTTTTTTACCACAACACCAAAAGGATTCTGGCTTAGGTACGATAACTTTAGGTCTTAGACAAATTATGCAAAAGTCATTGGCGAACTTTTTACATTCATGCATCGTATATCCGACAAATATCTTTCCCTCCATTTGCGACCCCAACAGAGCAGCAGTTAGGYACATTTCGCGCTGCATGCGGATCGCGCAAGACCCCCTGTAGGGCGGTTAACCGACCTCCAAAACCCCGGGGAAGGCTGGCGTTTCTCGACTTGTGATTTTTGACAATGCCGGCAATTCGCGCCTCCGCCTAACTGCTGCTAGGGTGGAGGGTGGTGTGTACCAACTTTTTATTGGAGAAGCAATTGATCTGCATCTTTTTTCTCAATAGCTGGCTGTATTGCTTACAAGATGGGGCTTCCCATCCTCCTGCAGTGTGCAGTCAATGAGAACAATATTGTGCACAAAGCTCTTAGCTCCGGACAGTTTTCTCGGCCTTCTGGGGTCGTGAAAACTTGGTCTTCTGCCATGGACATTCAGGTATCTGTGCCAATACCCGGCTACGCCTCATGGATTCACACTGTTTTGACAATGTGATGACACAATTTATCGTCAATAAGAGGACAGACACCTAAAAAACTGTTGTCTATTTGTTAATTTGCATTCTATCCAGGTTCCTTACAACATGGAAAGGTTGATGTACTTGTTCTCAGATTTTGATGCACAACTTATTGCTTCATTAATGAAAGAGTTTGAAGAGAAAGGAGTCCTGGAAATACCAGAAAACTTGAGGCAAAAAGTAAGGACATTTTCATAAGGGCCACTAACTAAGTGGTCCGACTGTTGTAGTTTCGTCAGAAAAAAAAAGTAAAGAAAGACGAAAAAAGACAAGACAAGGAAAGCGAGAAAACGACACAAAAAATGTAAAGTGAAAAAAGAAAAGAAAAGAAAAAAGAATGAAGTGAAGCGAAGTGAAGTGAAGTAAAGGGAAGTGAAGTGAAATGAAAAGAAAGAGGGGAGAAGTAAAGAGAAGAAGAGAGGAGAGGAGAGAAAATAAAAGAAAAGAAAGAAAAATGTATTAAGAAAACAGAGGCGTAGAGAAAGTTCTACGGTGTGTGTGTGTGTGGGGGGGATCAGGGAATGAAAAATAACTTGAGTGAATAAAAAAATGAGAGAACGGACACGACAGCATTGATTGAGCGAACAAATGAACGAACGAATGAATGACAAACGTCTATCAAGTGAAACGATGTAAAAAACAATGATTCAATAACTCAACGTTATGTTATAACTTTCAGATAGGACAGATAGTTTCATCTGACTGGGTGACACAGGACACAACCCTAGCCACCATGAGAAGTGTCTGGGACACACATAAGTATCTTTTATGTCCACATAGCGCTGTCGGTGTAGCAGTTGCATCCCGTGTAAACAGGTAAAATATGCTAAACAAACGAATGCTAAGTATTCACCTTTGAATTTCTGTTATTCCTACAAGGACTTAAATGAATTTTTTCAAAAACCTTTCTTGTCAAACCTCCCACCCTTCCCCCGGACGAAAACATTTTCACTGGTTTGTACTTTAGAAATCACAGTTCACACTGAATAGCAGAAAGAAATTCGTTCTGTATGCGGGATACCATCAATGTTCGTTGAATTCGAGAAAGGAATGGCCGCTTTTATTATTGACTTCTTAAAGATGAATTTCAACTGACATAAAATAGTACACAAGACTATATTTGTCACAAATCACAAATTCAGTGGTGAAAAATGTGATTTTCATTTTCTGAAAACTGCTCTTCGCAAGTTAAGATTTTTTTTTGCGACTTTCTTGATTGTTCTTCGTTGATCGAAGGTTCATATGAAGGTAAAAAAAAAAGGTAAAGGTAATTCATTTTACTTCGATAACGCGGGGAGTGGTTGCCCAGATCTCCCGAGCCAAGGGCTCATGCTTAATGCGCTCGAAGGTGCGCCCTCTACCCCCTATTACTATCAGTGCTCCCTTTTACGGGTATTTCAAGCTAATTAAAAGCTACACAGAACAGAAAGAAGTCGAAACAGACGTGGAGTTCATGAGGATCGAACTTTGGACCTCTAGCTCTGAAGGCCGCGCACTAACCAACTGAGCTACGTATAATAGAGCAAAAACACTTGAACTGTGAAATAGAATCAAACTAGTTACTAACAACAAGGAATACACAAGAGACCAATATGTTCATTATGAAACTGGATAAAAAACATTTAGAATTGATGGTCTCTTGTGTATTCCTTTGTGTGAGTCCTAATTACTCTAATAAATTTGCTTGAAATAAAACTGGATAAAAACATATTTGTATTGGTCTCTTGTGTATTCCTTGTTGTGTCATAAACTGTTCTGGCTCAGTGATAACGACTATTAGTATCTAAATAGCGACTATTTGTTAGTAACTGGTTTGATTCTATTTCACAGTTCAAGTGTTTTTGCTCTAATATATAGTTTGTCTTCTTCAAGAACTTACTTTTGTCTGTCTCTTGGGAAATTATTATTATTATTTTAAATATATATATATGTTTTTTATATTTTCCTTGCCTTGCATCCAACATTATCATGTAAATAGACTATCCTAACACAGCTATTACTGTCTTCTCCAACGCCTAAAGCACTGACGATTCTAAGGACAAGGCACCTATCGTATGCATTGCTACTGCAAGTCCTGCTAAATTCCTGGAGTCTCTTGAGGCTGCGAGCATCTCGTATACCCCACCTCCCGAGATAACTGGGTTAGTAAAGATGCCAACGAAATGTCTACAAATGAAAAAGGGAGACAATTGGGAAGAAATGCTGAGAAAGACTATCATTGAAATAGGACTGAAGTAAAAACGGCAATGCGGCATATTAAATATTCTAGCGGCCATAATCTATAACAAACCTGCAGATGCGAACGTTACGTTCGATGCATAGATAATTTTTCGTACGATTTGTTTATCAATTTAATGATTACAGATCAAATTGCACTCTGTCATATTATACCATTAGTAATGTGAATATATTTCTTTGGGCTAAAAGTTTATAAGTGAAAAGAATAACTAGAAGTTTCTTGAGTAGCTATTTCGGACGATATCCATCGTCCATCATCAGTTTAATGACTCCCTATAAGTTTAATGACTCCCTATAAACCATTTTTAATATAATCATAACTATTACAATTTCCGAGGAAAAAACTTCGTTTCTTATCAAAAGAACTGTGACTTTCTTAAATCAAAGAGCTATGTTTTTTGACATATGTAATGGACCTATCCCGAATTCGCTTGACTGATCACGAAACAATGGTTTCAAGTCGAGGTTGAACTTGATGAATAAAAGAATCAAGTTCAGTCTCGACTTCAAACCATTGTTTCGTGGTCAGTCAAACGAATTCGGGATAGGTCTATTATGCAAAGAAAGGGCAATGTTGCTATAGTAATTTGAATCAATAATCTGATTGGTGAATGTAGTCAGTAAAAGCAGCAAAATAATAGGCACTAAACTGTTGTATAACACTACCAGATTGATTAGTGGAAAATGTATAGCAGTTTCGCCACCAATCAGATTTGAGAAAATTGTAATAGTCATGATGAACGCTGCAATTTCTCCCGCGCAGGCACCGCACAGTCACTTTTAAATCACTTTTATAACGCTTTTTTTATTTCCCAACATCATTTTTGTAATTTATGCATACACACAATCTGTTCACATTGATCTATCTGGTATACACCTAATTGAAAAAAACGTCGGGTTCAAAAAAAGGTTATATCATCAAAGCTAAGACCGAAGGGGAGCATGGGAAGACAATTATGCTAAATCATGCGTATTGCAGTTTTCCCTTCCTGTGCACATTTTATGCGTCATGGCTTTGGCATGTCGTTAATCTAGGTCGACCGACTTTGCTCTACTGTGCATATTTACATGTCTATATGCAAATGTAATACACATTTCGGAGTACCCAAAATCTTTTTCGGTCTTAGCTTCGATGATATGACCTTCTCGAACCCGACTGACTACGTTTTTTTCAATTAGGTGTACATATATCACTTCAAGTCGGCAAGGGCCGCCCGTACGGTATCCAGCTTATAACGCTCTTTTGCATTTCCCAACAGCTTTCTGTTCGAGTTTTATTTCCAACTAATTAAAAAGCACTAAAAAAGCACTAACGCGAAAATTCTCAATGCCGATTATTGCTAGAAAAATTAATATATATCTACCCACTGGTTAAATTGTCGTTGACTGCCAATATAATCCATACACAATCATCATTTTCGTAATTTATGCATACACACATACATACGGCTATTTCAAGAAACAGTCTATTCACATAGATCTCATTGGTATACATGTATCACTTCAAGTCGGCCGTACGGTAGCTTTTTATCATTTATAGTTACTACACTGAAATTTTAGAAGATCACTAATTCAATTTACTCTTTCTAATGAAAGCATCGTTGTCTTCTATAACTGATGAATTAAGGTATCTCAAGGGACACGCCCCTTTTTCATATGGTCGATGTCATCGTCTGTGTAAGTAAGTGGACATATTTTCGGATGATACTCGTAGCCAATCCAATCATTTCGTGATCGTTCGTCCGGTTGTCGACTTGTTATCGATCGAAACGTCCGAGCTACGGTTTTCGTCCTTCATTGTCTAAACTTTTTCCTCGATGCAAGATTTCAAAGTATTTTTTTACTTTATTTACAATAATTTTATGCTATTTTGCTTCGACAACCAAGCACAACCTTCAAGCAATGCCTATTGCTTATTCGTACAGGATTTTTCAGACATTTTGACAGTCTTTCCAGCAGAATACTGAGACACTTTTTATAATTGATTTCTTCAGTCAATATGTTAAAATTAAAGTTYGAATGACATATGTCTGTTTTCATAATCTTTGTGTAGACTTGTGAACACTTTTGCAATTTCCATGTGACCATTTGTTTCTATTTTATGTTACCAACTCTTCTCTTCATTTTTGACGTTTATTTTCATCATTTATTTTTTTCGTTTATTCTTTCCATTATTTTGTTTCTTTTTGATCATATCTTGCGTCACTGTTTATTGCTATCATTATTGGCCTATAAAGCAGTAGCTACATGTAGTCATAGACTGCGTCAGGAATTTTTAATTCAATAGAGCTTTTGCGGCCAAGTAGTGTCTCCGAATTGGTTATATAGCAGTCTCACGTAGCACGTTTATAAAGTGGTGAGCTGCTTGTACATGTTTTGTCCTCGACAAAAAGCAAATACTCAAAAGTTCCTCCCACCTATAATAAGCACAGTCTCTTCATCGCTTCCAAACTTAAATATATTTTCCGTGCTATATTTGCTATTTTCATTAAACCTGGTCATTGAGACTTCTTGTTTATTTGTGGCCTTTGCATCGACTGCTTGTATAGGAAGCCCTCGAGTGACGTAGTAGCAATTCTAAAATAATTTTGGCCTTTGCTCTCGAGCAGTTTGCGTTATGGACCCTCGAGCGGCTTGGTGGTGTTTGTACAACAAATTTTGACCTTTCTCCTCAAGTGGGTTGGCATGCATTTTGATATGGTTGGCCAAATGTTGCAAAATTCAACAGCATGTATATTTATATTCAACAAAATATAATTACATTCAACAATAAAATTGTGTTCAAATTCAACCTTCGTTATT